CCCCCGCCTTAAAGAAAACGTTGCAAAACTGTACTACAGCAGCCTCGTGTACATTTGTTGTGTATATCTTTTAACCAACCCTGTACGTACTCCCTGGGGTCATTGTGTACCCCCTGGGTTGTATTCTTTAAATTTAGAATAGTTCTAGTACGAAGATCTCTTTGAAACTTTCAGTACTTCCCAAAAAAATCATTTTGACAGGCTGCTATGCAAAGCGTACGGATCGGATTAACGAGTAATTTCCTCTTTGAAAAGTGGTGGCACAGAGATCCCCGCGTCGTATGGATACGATAGTAAAACACGACGTACGGATAGGGTTAAATGGTGCAGTTGCGGAATGATTAGTGCGCACGTCTCCGAAGCGAAAAGTCCTGGTTCGAGCCTCGATTCGGACATGGATTTTTTTTCGCCCCTCCTGCCCACCCAGCAGAAATTAGTACCTGACTTCGAGTTGGGGAAGTAAAGGTGGCGTGGAAAGGAACTGGCCACCTTCCCACAATATGCCGAAGGCCCAGGAAGTTGTCTCACTAACAAGGCAATCCCCAATGTCCTGATCGGATGCGGGAACAACTTTTTTTATCTTATAAATCCTCGAACTGAAAGGTGAACCTAATCTAATATGCTATTTTCCATCTGCGGTTGGTTGGAGGGTGCTCTGGTGCGGTTTGCTCATCAAACATTTAATGTCCTGATCTCTCCTCCTTCTTATTTTTTTGTTTGTCACTCTCTTGTAACACCTCTAATCCTCAGTATTTATATGATCCTACTGAGTTGCAAGTATCGTAAAACTCTAACTCAAACTAAAAACTATTTTTCCATTTTGTTTTTGCATACACTTCTTACACATACGCGCATGCACTCCTCCAAAGAGGCTCTCGTGGTCTTGAGGTACAGTGTTCACTATTCATCCAATAGGTCCCGTGTTCAAAACCTGACAACCAGGGAAAATGTCCCTCTCTAAAATTTGCCCTTTTCTCTTCCTTTCCTGCTCTCTAACCATGTTCTGTCGTCTGCTATCCTCTTCACTTTCTACCAAATTTTCTGCACCCTCACCTCTCCCATTTGCCCCCTCATCTAGGCTCCTGACTCTTTCTGCAGCCTATCTACTACTACTCCTTGGCTTCTTCTTATCGCTGTCTTTCAGCCACACCCTTACCTTATGGTAGATAAGATGAAACACTTAGCGTTCTCGTTAAGGGCGAAAAATCTCGGAGGTCCACTGTGTAGGTTGCACATGGTAAAGATCCCTTGGTGGTCTTAAATCGATCAGAGTAGGCTTCGTTAGCCACCCGGGCAAATTTCAA